TGACCTCTGCAAAGCTTCTTCTGGCATCTCACCATACATCTGCCTGTAGTTTTTGAACTCAACCTGCAGGAGGTTTGTTTGTTGTGATTGACTGGGGGTTAACAGCTGACAGATTGGTGTGTCTTGGTGGTGGCAAGGACACACCCAAGAAACACCCACATCAACCCACACCCCCAAGCCAACTCACGTTTGCCAAAAAAAATAAGGCGAAATCAGCCGGTGCAATTCCCCTTTAAGTCAAACTCAACCTATGGACACGCCCACCCTCATAGGGACAGCGGTCATTTCCTATTGACATACATACTTTGAAAGAGAGAAAAGCATCTCAGTTTCACAATTTGAGAACAAAATAGACAAAATGATTTAAAATGGACAGGATAATACCTAGGTACAGGTTACTGGCAAAATAAAGGAAACACCAACATAGGGCGTTGAGCTACCACGAGCCAGAACAGCTTCAATGCACCTTGGCACAGATTCTACAAGTGTCTATAACTATATTGGAGGGATGTGACACCATTCCTCCACAATGAATTCTATAATTTTGTGATTTGTTGATGGTGGTGGAAAACGCTGTCTCAGCCGCCGCTCTAGAATCTCAAATGGGTTGAGATCTGGAGACTGAGACGGCCATGGCATATGGTTTACATCGTTTTCATTCTAATCAAACCATATGGAGGTCCTGGGCTAGCGTGGTTGCACGTGTTCTGCGGTTGTGAGGTCGGTTGGACGCACTTGAAAAAGAAAAGGAGAGCTGCACACTCTAGGAGCTCAGATGCAACAATTTAATAACCTAATAACCAACGTTTCGAAAGACAAGCTGTCTTCATCAGGGTATAATGACAAACACTGCAGGTCACTAGTTTTTATAGTGTCAAAGGACACACGCAGGTGTCTGTAATCATGGCCGGGTGTGGCCTGATAGCATTGGTTAATTCACAGATAAACAGAACATACAAAAAATATGAATAGATAGCATACGAGCATAGATACAACTTGGCTACATAGGCCCACAAACATTTACAATGAATAGCAAAATCACAATAATCACAAGAATGGCTTCAAATCAAAGTCTACGTTGAGACCGAATGGAGCAAGGGTCTTTAAATTAAAGGTCCAGGCAGCCTCTCGTTTTAACAATAAGTTGTCGAGGTCACCCCCTCTCCTAGGGAGGGTGACATGTTCGATGCCGATATAATGTAGGGACGAAATCGAGTGGTTCGCTTCCAAAAAGTGGTCAGCGACTGGGTATGTCGAGTTTCTGCACCTAATGGTGCTACGATGCTCCGAGATTCGTACTTTTAATTTGCACTTTGTTTTACCCACATAATTTTTACCACAAGGACAAGTTATAAGATAAATAACTGCCTTAGTGGAGCACATAATAACACCTTTGATTGGGATCTGTTTCCCTGTTTGGGGGTGTTTGAAGGATCTACATTTGTAAGTGCCATTGCATTGAGCACAGCCGTTACACTTGTAGTTTCCATCCGGTAGAGGCGCAAATAGACGTTGTGCAGGGATATTTAGGGGTGGTAAATCAGAGTTTACCAATTTATCTCTGAGATTTCTGCCCCGCGAGAATACAACCAAGGGAGGGTCTGAAAACACATTACCAATACTGTCATCGGATCTTAGAATGTGCCAATGTTTGTGAGCGATTCCCTTAATTTGTTCAGAGCACTTTGAATATTGTGTAGTTAGAACGCAATAATGCTTATTTTTGCGAGACTGTCCTTGAAAGAGATCAGGTCTCGATTTGTTTTGAATTTTCTCAATGGCAGTATTAATCTGACCATTTTTGTACCCCCTCTCCTTGAATTTTCTTTGCGTCTCAGCTGTATTTTGGTCGAAATCTGATTGTTTTTTACTAATTATTTTGATTAGACAGAATTGGCTGTAGGGCAAACTGTTTTTCAAGGGAAGCGGGTGACAACTATCAGCCCTCAACAAACTGTTAAGATCAGTAGGTTTCCTGTAAAGATCAGTGTATAGAACATTATCCTCAAACAATATCAGAAGATCAAGGAAACTGATTTGACGTGTGTCAGATTGCATAGTAAATCTCAGGTGCTCAGAACAAGAGTTAAGAAAAGCATGGAATGCCTGGAGCTGTTTTGAATCACCCCTCCATAGAACAAAAATATCATCAATGTACCGTTTCCAAATAATAATATTAGGCAAGAAAATGTAACCCACATGTAAATGAGCATAGTTAGGAGACATAGGGGATCCCATAGCAGTACCCTTCATCTGAATAAATAAATAATTTAGAAACATGAAGTAGTTGTGTGTGAGTACTATTTCAGCCAATGTTATAATGTATGCACTGGAAGGTAGTTCATTTGGGTCACGTTGCAGAAGAAAATGTTCCATGGCTTCAATACCGCCCTCGTGTGGAATATATGTGTATAACGACTCAACATCAAAAGTAACTAACAAGGTATTATCAGGGAGAGGATCAAGACATTCAATAATAGAGATCATACTGCTGGTGTCCTTTACAAAGGAGCTGTTCTGCGAGAGGTCTAATAAAAAAGTCAACAAAGGTCGATAAAGGGGCTGTTACTGCATCAATGCCCGCTACAATAGGGCGCCCTGGAGGTTTTGTAACATTCTTGTGTAATTTCGGCAAAGTATAGAACGTGGCAATTTTAGGGTGTTGAATAGCCAAAAAAACGTGTTATTTTTTGGTGATTTGACCAGAACTTAAATACCCATCTAGGACAGTAAAAATAGTGTTCTGAAATTGGGAAGTGGGGTCACTTCTGAGTTTCTTGTAAAAGGGGTTGTCAAGCAGTTGTCTGTGACACTCATTTACATAAACTGTCCTATCCATGAGTACAACCGACCCACGGTTGGACGTACTGCCAAATTCTCTAAAACTACGTTGGAGGTGGCTTATGGTAGATACATTAACATTACATTCTCTGGCAACAGCTCTGGTGGACATTCCTGCAGTCAGCATGCCAATTGCATACTCCCTCAAAACTTAAAACATCTGTGGCATTGTGTTGTATGACAAAACTGCACATTTTAGTGGCCTTTTATTGTCCCCAGCACAAGGTGCACCTGTGTAATGATCATTCTGTTTATTATCAGCTTCTTGATATGCCACACCTGTCAGGTGGATGGATCATCTTGGCAAAGGAGAAATTCTCACTAACAGGGATGTAAACAAATTAGTGCAAAACATTTGAGAGAAATAAGCTTTTTGTGCATATGGAAAATGTCTGATCTTTTATTTCAACTTATGAAACCAACATTTTACATGTTGCGTTTATATTTTTGTTCAGTATACATGAACCTAAGCATGATGGGAGGTTAATTGATTAATTAACCCAGGAACCACACCTGTGTGGAAGCACCTTGTTTCAATACACATTGTATCCCTCATTTACTAAAGTGTTTCCATTATTTTGGCAGTTACCTGTATGTAGCTACAGTAAAACCCATACTTTTAAAACATCTGATACTTCTGAATCTCTCGCTCTCTGTTCCATGGCTAGGAGGAGGACCTTCAGGAGATGAGGCAGTCGGCCGAGCTGATGGACGAGCGTTATGGCCACCTAATGGACTGGGTCCTTGTGAAGGAGGACTTAGACAGCGCCTGTGTAGAACTCCAGGACATCCTGCAGAGGGTTGAGACCGAGGTCCACTGGGTGGCTGTTTGCTGGGTCCAAACCACCTAGCATACACTCCCTGGAGCTATAGAGGGGCTATTGCATATAATACACTAAAAATGTGTATAGCTCCATTACTGTAAGTAAACCATGCCAGTGGAAACATTGAGATAATGGGAATGGATTTGGACATAGGTGTTTCACTGCCATTGTGCCATAATCTCAGCAACCAGAACAAAATCTCACATGCGCTTACGTTAACAGTCACGAGAGACCACCACTGCCAGAGTGATGGTGTTGGTGGTGGCAAACGGACATTGAGATGAGTGGAGAATGAAGAGGGTACTTTCCACAAGTGAATTCAGTGGAATCAATTGACACTGCTTGGGTTTGCCTGGCTCTTGACAATGAATGTCTAATTTGTCACCTCAAGATCAATAAATATTTTGCATTGTGGACTGTTTAAAAATGGTTTTACTACTCATTCATCCTCATTGTATGAGCTTGTTCAGTTTACAGATTTGTTTTTATTGTGTCTATGTGCAATGGGGAGTTGTGGATACTGGCTGGACTTGTGTAGTGCATTACAGGCCTAAATCAGCAATGTGACAACCAGTATATACTATTTATCAGAGCTATGCCCTCTACAATAATCTACAATGTGTAGATTAGTCTAGTAAGTACAAGTATTGGTTTAAATGAAACATAACAATAGATGTGGACAAGATGAAGATATTGATTATGAATGATCAATCATTATTCATTGTATGCAAAATAACACTAATTGAGGACTGTGTGCTTCTGAGATCTCTCATATTTAACCAAACCATTCAAGAAAATCTCTTCCATAAAGATACAAGGTGACCCTGTTTATTTGGCCTCACTTGTCATTGACCTTCTAGCCCTGGTTACACCTTGCATTAACATGTGGTTTTCTTGATCTGGTGATTGGATTGTTGGCGTGTAAAAAGTGGTTCTCGACTTCTGGAGTAAAACTGTTACAGCATAGGGCTCTACTAGGCCCCGCACAAATCTCAATGGATGAGATCTATTGGATGAGAGAGGCGAGAAGATGGGACACAAGGAATTGAGGAAAGAATAGAGAAAGAGCCCTGGAATTCTGCCCAGAGGAGTATTCCTTATTCAGGCTGGGATTCAATCAGAAACCAGGCTATAGCGCGCTTGACATTTAAAGGTCATTTCCAATTGAGCCAACATCTGCAGCATTTACCTTGAATGCGGGGAGTGATAGCCTGTATAGCCAACTCCTATAGTCGTGTAGGCTACCCAGCACAAACAGATCTCGGATCAGGCTACAGGAGAGGAGATAGGGAGGAAAAAAAGGGAAATGGGGGACTTGTTTCTCAGTGGGGAGACACCATTTATTTTAGAATTAATTTTGGGTAACAATTATAAACCAATCCTAAACAAGAGTAAAAATATACATGTGTGACTTTGCAGGTCTGCCCTCGGGTCCCAAAAAATCCCAAAGGTCTACTTCCAGAGTTTCTTGATGGACATGTTCTTCTCGCTGTCCTTCTGCATCACCTGGAAAGACACAGGGCAGGAGTCGTTAGCCAGTGATAAAGGACCTTATCATAAGGAGCCATATTAAAATCAGTGATCAGCAAAACAACAAACTCTGGGGAAAGGGGTCTATCTGTCCATTTTAATCCCTAAAAGTATAAACCTTTGTAATAAACGAATGTAAAGACATTAGTTTATTATAAAAGCTAAAATGCTGATACAAATACCTGTCATTGAAATTACAAAGTCATTTGTGGAATATGGGTTTCTACATTGTGTAAAAGCACTATTTTCATATTGTACACAGTCTCTTTAAAGATGTCAGGTTTGTGACTACAACATGCAAGAGATCTGTCATTCATTCATTGCTATGATCATTGATCTCCTGTATAACCGATCCCTTTCTTTCTGTGCCCCCAAATGTTTGGATATACTGGTCAAATTAGCTAGCTCGCCAATGATGTAATGACTGCACAAAGTTTAAACAAATGGTTAACGACACACAAGTAGTTTTAGAACGGCCCAGGACATGGTTTATGAATGCGGTCCCGGCGATCTGCTGTAGGAAGATAAAAGGAAGATAAAAATATTGCGCCGGTAATATGGGTCAGATCTTTCGACCTGGTTGTGCTAAAAGCAAGCCGGTTTCGCTGTAGTAACCATGACGCTATCGAATTTGCACTCACCTTTTTTCTCTAGGATACTCGGAAACAACGGTACAGCGAAGCCTTATCATTACAACAATTATTATCTGGGAGATTTTTTTCCGAGTCGCACAGTGCTCCCAAAATAAAACTCCTGGTCGCACAGCAAAATATTTTGTTGCACATGCGACCAAATTGGTCAGACTTTAGAGTCCTGGCTATAGCCCATTGAAATGCATTGAATAAAACATTCATACATGGTAAAACAGACAGTCAAAAAATAAATCATAAGAAAATAAGGTTTTGAAGTGTCTGTCCTATATCTAGGAGATACATGAAAGCTCAGGAAATATATATTTTGACACATATTTAAACCCCTTTTTTTGTTGGCACAAAACTACTTCCATACTTCCAATCACTTTTTAAACCGGTACCGGGTTACCTTCAGACGAGTCCTGTGACACTTGTGGGGGGCAACACGGACAGAACACCATCATGTTCGTGAGTCTCTCGTTTCCATAATGTGGTCATTAATGTTGCACGGTATACCGAAACGTATGTACTTTTTCCGATACTAGAACATGAAAAACCGTACAGTCCTAGAATCGTTGTTACATTCGGTACTTCTGTCATTTGTCTCACGTCATATACGGATTGAGAGTATCGAGTATTATGATACTAAACCTGGTATTGAAGCAAAACATCTGGTATCGTGACAACACTAGTGGTCATATTAGTTTGTAGCCCAAACCGTTCGGACGCTACAGACAGAAGTTGGCACATTGGTGGTACTGACTTCAGACGAGTCCCGTGGGGATTGTGGGGGTCGTAGAGCAAAACGCTAAAGACGTTTGTTTGTGAGAAGACAGATTTTCGGGATGTCTCCCGGTCTGACAAATAGCGCTGTAGCTCTGCCACCTGCCATCGCAGATGTGGAAGGCTGACATAGGCGGATGCGGTGGACTGAGATGCAGACCGGTACCAAATAAGTCTAGCTTAAACACATTCTTATGGGGATTTTGGGGGGGATTTTTGTATTATATTAATGCAATTGACACGCTGGCACATCAATCGACTATTTTTTAATTTTTTATGACAAGACACAGATATAAGTTAGTCTGGTCCAAAATCTGTTTGAGCTGTATATAGCCAACTCCTATGGTCGTTGTCATGTCAAACAGTTTGGAAAGACGACAAAACAGATCTGGGACCAGTATAGATAAAATAAAAATTGTATACAAAATCTCTGATCAACTACAATGAACAAAAATATAAACGCAACATGCAACAATTTCAAAGACTTAACTGAGTTACAGTTCATATAAGGAAATCAGTAAATTGAAATAAATTAATTAGGCCCTAATCTACGGATTTCATATGATTGGGAATACAGATATGCATCTGTTGATCACAGATACCTTTAAAAAAAAAAGTAGAGGCGTGGATCATAAAACCAGTCAGTATCTGGTATGACCACCATTTGCCTCATGCAGTGCGACATCTCTTTCACATTGAGTTGACCGGGCTGTTGATTGTGGCCTGTGGAACGTTGTCCATCTACTCTTCAATGGCTGTGCGAAGTTGCTGGATGTTGGCGGGAACTGGAACACGCTGTCGACACGTCGATCCAGAGCATCCCAAACATCCTCAAATGGGTGACATATGCAGGTGAGTATGCAGGCCATGGAAGAACTGGGACATTTTCAGCTTTCAGGAATTGTGTACAGATCCTTGCGACATGGGGCCGTGCATTATCATGCTGAAACATGAGGTGTTGGCGGCGGATGAATGGCACGACAATGGGCCTCCGGATCTCATCACGGTATCTTTGTGCATTCAAATTGCTATCGATAAAATGTAATTATGTTCATTGTCCGTAACTTATGCCTGCCAATACCATAACCCCACCGCCACCATGGGCCACTCTGTTCACAACGTTGACATCAGCAAACCGCTCGCCAACACGACGCCATACACGCTACGCTGTCTGCCATCTGCCCGGTACAGTTGAAACTGGAATTTATCCGTGAAGAGCACACTTCTCCAGCGTGCCAGTGGCCATCGAAGGTGAGCATTTGTCCACTGAAGAAGTCGGTTACGACGTCGAACTGCATTCAGGTGAGGATGACAAGCACGCAGATGAGCTTCCCTGAGATGGTTTCTGACAGTTTGTGCAGAAATTCTTTGGTTGACCCACAGTTTCATCAGCTGTCCGGGTGGCTTAGCACAGACGATCCTGCAGGTGAAGAAGCCGGAACTGGAGGTCCTGGGCTGGCGTGGTTACACGTGGTCTGCGGTTGTGAGGCCGGTTGGACGTACTGTCAAATTCTCTAAAACAACGTTGGAGGAAGCTTATGGTAGAGAAATGAACATTTTTAATCTGGCAACAGCTCTGGTGGACATTCCTGCAGTCAGTTAACAATTGCATGCCCTCTCAAAACTTGAGACATCTGTGGCATTGTGTTGTGTGACAAAATTGCACATTTTAGAGTGGCACCTATGTAATGGTCATGCTGTTTAATCAGCTTCTTGATATGCCACACCTGTCAGGTGGTTAGATTATTTTGGCAAAGGAGAAATGGTCACTAACAAGGAAACAAATGTGTGTACAACATTTGAGAGAAAAGCTTTTTGTGCGTACGGGAAATGTCTTTAATCTTTTACTTCAGCTCACGAAACATGGGACCAACACTTTACATGTTGTGTTTATATTTTTGTTCAGTGTAGTATTGATATATTAGGCATTATATAGACAATAAAGGGAGCTAGAGGTAAAATAGAGACAAACTGTCTCTTGGAGAGTGTTAGGATAGAAGACTAACCTTGGCAACAGCCATCTCAAAGTCCTCCTGGTTGACGTGCACTCTCCTCTCCCTGAGGGCGTACATCCCTGACTCGGTGCACACACCCTGAGAAGCAAGATGGAACAGAAACACACAAAGGTTTTACCATGGTGAAATAAGAAAAAGTCATTAATACCCACAGTGGTCGAAGACTAAGGCACTCCAGGAACAGGGTTACCAATCCCTGGGCTAGGGGATGTTTCAGGATGGCTAGTTGTACATAGGGCTGTGGCGGTCATGACTTTTTGTCAGCCAGTTATTGTCATGTAAAAGACTGCCGGTCTCACGGTAATTTACCGTTAATTAACATAAACACGTTTTGCATCTCCAGGCCTCCACGCATACAAGCCGCTGATGGAACATCTACATTTTAAAAAAGTCTAAAAAATTGTTGTTTTGGATTAATCATCAACTTAGAAAGCGCTGTCCATTTCATTGTGTAGGATTTGAAACCACATCCACCACAACCATGTTTTCCACTCAGTTTCAACCTGTTATTGAACTTCTTTCTTCAAATGGATCAATCATAGGAGGTGAGTTTTAATAGCACATACTGGTTTGATGATAAGTGTTTGTGATTTTCGACTGCATTTGCATTGATGTCAGAGTGGTTAGAGGGACAGCAGAGCCCTGAGTACCAGGCCATTAGCGACTTGATGATCATTAGCGAGTTGGGCACTACTAGGAGATTATCGTGATGCAATGGTCACATAGAATTTTACTGCGGTTATGACTGATGACTGCCGGTGTGGCGATAATACAGTCACTGCAACAACCCTAGTTGTACATGTTCTGCCCTTGTGCATGTGCTAGCCCTAATGTGGTGGGCCCCATTCAATAACTTGGGGAGGATCAAGTCTGCGGTTATTCTCTCCTGATATTCTACACACAACGTAAATGTAAAACCCTGTGGGACATGTGTCCACTACAACAAACTATTACAAAATGTAAAATGTACAATGGTGAAACAAACAGATCTACACAACTGTCTAAGGGATAGGGGCTAGGGGTCATCTCTGGACGGGGCCAAAGGCTTCCCTACTAGCAGTCATACACTGAACCCCTCATACACTGAACTGTCTTCCTCAGCCCTGTGCTAGCCTTCATATGGTGGGCCCTATTCCAAACTGTGCGTCTCAGTCTATTACCTTAACCTCGGCCCCGGAGGCTCCGGGCATCAGTTCTGCAATCTTCCTCAGGTTAATACCACGCGTCAAGTTCATCTTCCTTGAGTGGATCTTCAGAATGTCCAAACGGGCCTGAGGAGGAGCAGAATGAAATGGGACGGGCCAGAATTAAGACACTGTAGAAGCAAACTGCTCACATGAAGATGAATGAGTGGCAGCACAAATACACAAATATCTGAGTGTGAGGAGACAGTGAGGATGCTGGACTAGACTCATTGGTATAAATCCTTTATTTAAAAATAAATATACAGTAACAGTCAAAAGTTTGGACACGCAAACTCATTCCAGGGTTTTTCTTGATTTTTACTATTTTCTACATTGTAGAATAATAGGGAAGACATCAAAACTATGAAATAACACATATGGAATCATGTAGTAACCAAAAAAGTGTTAAACAAATCAAAATATATTTTATATTTGAGATTATTCAAATAGCCACCCGTTAACTTGATGACAGCTTTGCACACTCTTGGCATTCTCTGAACCAGCTTCATGAGGTAGTCACCTGGAATGCATTTCAATTAACAGGTGTGCCTTCTTAAAAGTTAATTTGGGGAATTTCTTTCCTTCTTAATGCGTTTGAGCCAATCAGCTGTGTTGTGACAAGGTAGGGGTGGCATACAGAAGATAGCCCTATTTGGTAACAGACCAAGTCCATATTATGGCAAGAACAGCTCAAATAAGCAAAGAGAAATGACAGTCCATCATTACTTTAAGACATGAATGTCAGTCAATCCGGAACATTTCAAGAACTTTGAAAGTCCCTTCCAAGTGCAGTCGCAAAAACCATCAAGCTCTATGATGAAACTGGCTCTCATGAGGACTGCCACAGGAATGGAAGACCCAGAGTTACCTCTGCTGCAGAGGATAAGTTCATTGGAGTTAACTGCACCTCAGATTGCAGCCCAAATAAATGCTACACAGAGTTCAAGTTACAGACACATCAACATCAACTGTTCAGAGGAGACTGTGTGAATCAGGCCTTTGTCATGACTCATGTGATGGTCCCACGTGAGAAGCCCAAGATCAGAATACAGAGAAGTAACAGTTTACAGATCTCTCTCTCTCCCGCAGAACAAATGAGGGATTGATGTGGGGGGTTTTATGACCCCTCGCACCAATCAAACGACTCCTTGTTTGTCCCTAGTATTGGTGATCTGAATGTCTCTGTGATTGCTGCCCAAAAACTCTAACGACCAAAGGTGGACACTGGAACAGTATATTTCAACATCCGAATGTTGGGCATGATGACAGAGGGAATATGGAAAATTAATGAATATTTTGTGATGTCATTAAAACTTGTATAAAAACGTTATAATTAAAATATTGTAACTTGAAGAGCTTTCATACTGTGCATTTCAAGTTTGCATCCGTTACGTTGCGAAGGAAGATAATATTTTTGTAAAGATAGGAAGATGATTTTGGTTCTCTAACAAAATCATAGTGTTCAGGATACTTTGCTCCAGTAACTAGCCACGCCCACGGGAACTCAGAAAGAGTGTCAGCATGACGCAAACGCCCGCTTTACCAGAGTGTATAAAAAGTTGAGTTAAGAATCAACAGGTAGACTAGACGGACCTCAAGCTGCAGCTAGGTCTATATTGGTCACGACCCTGAAACCCAACATGTGGTTGAAGAAGACAAAGGAGCCTCTAACAGTCAATGCTATGGTTGAGAACATTTTCTAAGTACTATATCTAAGAAAGTGAATTTAAGTAGGACCATCCGGCTACTCTCTTCAAATCATCATCAACAACACTGTTCTCATCACCCCATTGACACGGATCATCGACCCGGCTGATTAGCCGTCCTCAGAAGATCACTCTTCCAAAACAGGGAGAGTGAACATTACCCTGTCAGTCCACAGACTGCAGAACGGGCGGCAGTTCGGGGGCAAGGTATTAGGATTACTGTGAGCGTAGCTCCATGTGTATCCAAGTGTTCCCTCTCTCTCTAACTGACCATCTTTTGTAACAAGTGTCATATTGTGTTAGTCCGCTAGGGACCTGTTTTCATTGTATTAAGTTTCTAATCCCTAACTTATACCGTGTATGTGTTTGTATCTTGTGTTATAATTTTTATTAGTTAGTGAATAAATAAATAATTAAATCAATTTGTGGGGTACGGAACGATCAGTAAGACCCGGGTTTGTGCGGATTTAAGGAGTCTACGACTTTCAGAATGAGACTTATGAGGTAAATGATTAATAAGTGACTGTTAAATTATATGAGATATCTAGATATCTTTAGAGTTAATTCGGGAAACGGTAACTCGTTAAACAACTTTTCCCGTGGTGCCCCAAATTCCTAATGAGTTAATTGTTACATGATTAATTTAATCTAGTAGGTATTATTTGATAAATAACAGTCATCACATGAATGAAAGTCACGTCACAACATATTGGTGCCCCCTGTGAGGAGTCTAAGATAAAACAAGGCCTTACTGTTGAATTCAGTCTATAGGAATTGTGTAGCAAGATATGTTATACACCAATAGCGCTGTACGCAGGATTATTGTTGAGAGTGGCGTGTGTGTGTGGTCCCTTTTCATCCAGATACTAGTAGGGAGAGATTGACTCCGGTGTTGTATATCTAACGAAAAGTCAGTGTGTATGCTACGAGCTAGGACATATGGGCCAGCCAATATAGGTATCAAGAGAAATAGACTAGTTGGGCCAAACATAGTACTATTTCTGTCTCTCGCGTTTCAGGAGCGAGTAGACTCGGTCATAATTAATTTCTAGAGCGTGGACATATGGGCCCGCCAATTATAGAAATTTGAGTAGATATATTTGGTTGACGGAAACAGACTGATTATCTCTCGCGTTTCAGTAGCGTGAGGAGTTCAAGGCGGGTATTTATTTTATGTTTTCGCGTGTTCCGGTAAAACATTGCTAGCAAAGAATCGCCGAAAGGGTTAACGTGAGACGTCATTAATAAACCCCTTCCCTAGTTAAAGGGGACCCTGTGTGTACTTGGATGTGAGATTCCTGTACAAGTAGGGCTAGCTTTGCACTAGATGCTAAGCTAATGACGGGAGAGCAGCCATTTTTGTTTCTCCCTTTGTTCCAACTGAAGTTCCGCCCCATCGGGACTCCCGTTTGATTTCAGCTTTCTGCGGTCAGCGACCTCTGGTGGTGAAGAATCGGCAGTAATAGTTGTTTTATTTTTATTCAATTCGAGGGCACACTCTTAACCCACTGTTACAACGGGTTACACTGTATGATATCCATCCAATCTCAACTGATTGGATATCATCGTCTCATTGCAACGCCAGGGTTGTGGGTTCGATTCCCATGTGGGGCCAGTATAAAAAAAAAAAAATTATTCACTAACTGTAAGTCGCTCTGGATAAGAGCGTCTGCTAAATGACTAAAAATGTAAAATGTAAATTCGATTTAACCAGGAAGGTGAATTGTCAAACAAACCTTTTTCAGGGTTGGTCATTTGGATAAGGTCCAAATGTATTTGTTCAAACCAATGAGACATTTTACATTTCTCCACATTAATTTAGATACAGCGATGCTATCAGGATAACTAAAGTTTAATTCCCAGATAGCCTATACAGGTATGATTAATCATTAACATTGATTAATCAATTACATTTGCTTTTGCAAATTAATTCATATCCAACTCCCACATTACTGATCCAGTTGATGGTCCATTAACGTATATAAATAGATTAAAATAGTTTTTGCAGCTTCCAACAACGCAAAACCCAAAATTTAAATAATGTACAAGCTATCAGAGGGGGTGGTCCCCATTCCCCCGCTAATTAGTGAACCCTCACCAATAAAATGATTGATCGTTGCCCTCATCAGCGATATCAACCCTAACTATGCCATTAGCGGAAAAACAGCAGAAATTGCGACAAACGCCCTCCAAAGTACACCATCGGGCGCTGGCTTTGTAAATGTTCTCTCCAGTTTAGCCCTGATGTATCGCCATCAGAGATTGGCATCTCTCCAGTACTGCAGTGCACAGCAGAAGCACGAGCAAGAACCAGTTGACATGAAGGGACAGGTGAAGAGAACCGGGACACTAATGACAAGAGTAGAAAAGGGAAAAATACTGCTACCCATGGAACTGCGTTTGAAAACGGAACAATTAAATTAATTGCGAAAACGTATTACGATGAACGAGCACAAAAACTTCAACAAAATCGTGTTCTACATTAACAACTCGATTTAGCCAAAACAAAATATGACGAGGTCCACGCTAAACTAGATACATCTACAAACAGGAGCGCCCAACTTGACAACATGCATGCAGTTTTGATGAACGTTTCTCAAAGCAATAATATTCTAGTCCAAATGCTGCAGGCCAAAGACGATCAGTTACTGAACACAATGACCAAGTTGGATGACAAATCAGCGGAACTCATTGAAGTCGCTGACCAAATGAATGATGCGAGAACCCAGGTGATGAAGAGGGACAAATTGATTTCTAAGTAAGCGGAGGAAATCTCATCACTGAATCTCTCGCTCCGTACTCAAGACCTCTACCTGCAAACCATGACAGATAAGTATGAGGCCGAACGAAGCAAGTGCGACACTCACGTGTCTAAAATAAGTACTCTAAGCGCTCAAGTGGACTCTGCTATGCAGCAGATTACAACCGTTAGGTACCATCTGGAGGAATTCCAGAACAGTCTGGCGCTACAGCGTGACTTCCCAGTCAAGCAACCAAGCTCGCAACAGGAGCTCGGTACAGAAAGGAGTGAAGACGACAGAAGGTTTCAGACATCGCCTCTCTCAGGTGTCCCTCAGTTTTCTCCTCTTGGCCATTTGGCAGAGTAATATGGCGCCTCCTCGCCAACAAAGCCAAAGCTTGGTTTCTCCTCTTGGCCCACAATTCCCGACAGGATGAAGCCAACCCTCTCCACTCACTCGGCACGGAACACCTTGACAAACTCGTCAAAAACTTCTGCACCTTTGACCCCGTTCCAGGTAAGCCAAACGACACAGACGTTCCTAGCAGACATAGAGGACACCTTGGATGGCTACCCGAACGCTACGGATTCTGAAAGGCTTTACCTGTTGAAACAAACGTTGACAAACACGTGACAAGGTTCATTCATATACAACAGCAACACGTGCAAAACAACTACGCTAAACTTGCCATGGCTTTGAAAATAGAATTCAGTGGTTCAGTGAGTCGTAAACACGACAGCTCGCTGGCTAACACTCTCAAACAAGCTCGGAATGAACACCCACAAGCTTCCTATAATAGGCTTCGTTCAGCTTACTGTGGCCTACTCACTGAAACAGGAATGGAAGAGCTATTACCATTCAAACAAATGTTTCTGTCGAACATGTCCTACAGCCCACATTGGTTTGCCAATCTCAGACCTCAGAGCTTTTGAGGCATCAAAAGTGCGCAACGCTAAGAGCCTTGTAATCTTGGGTTTGAAGATTGAACAGGAGCACTCACTCCAGTTATCAGCTATTGAAGCGTTGAGTGATGACACAGAACAACGGTTTCTACCACGAAAACACGATCCCAATACCCGCTGCGGTCGAAATAACTGTAAAGTATGCCGCCAGCGAAACAACTACCGCTACAATCAACCTGATCGCTACGTTCCTGCACCCAACCCACACAAAGTGTCAGGGCACAACGGTAACCAGGGTAACAAACGGTTCAATGACGATCACAACTTAAACAGATTCTCTCTAGAAGTTCTGCTAAGAGAAGTACAGAAGTGCAAACATTTTGAGAAAGGGGAAAAAGACAAGTAATTATGACTAGATGTGGATTTGCCGGACAACAGGCCTGCCAAAATTAACACAATTTGCGAGGATGTAAACGATCAACTTACTCCCACTCTAGACCTTATCCAGGGCCCGCTCGATCTAGAAACAAGCATACAGGCTTTGTCTATAGACTCTGATACAAATGCTGCGAAGCAAAAGGTAAAAAACATCGCATTAGCCAATTCCACTCAAAACCCGATAAGTCGATCTGTTTTCACCATGAACACTAATGACACATCACGTCAATGCGAACAACCACTCCACTTTGTGGGGAATATGACCACAAAAACGCGACTCAAACAGCCCATACCTGGAAACAGTCCTGGAGGACTGCTTATCCTGTCACGAGCTAATTGATTCGGGCTCGACAATATCGCTCATCTCTCAAACGTTGTTCAATGATTGCAAAAGGGCTTTGAACCCAGCAAAACGTTGGTTAAAAACGGAACGATGGGATACTAAACTTCAAGGTTTCACTCAGACCTCGCCTCTCACATTGAGACTCATGCTAAAACTACACTTCGAAGACGTATCGCTTGTTCACCCTGTGTATGTTACCAGCCTCGAAAGTGAACCCCTGCTACTCGGAGCAGACTTGATGGATCGTTTTATCCCACTGATGGATTGGAAAACCAACCAAGTATGATCACAGCTAACCGTGCCGTCTCCACTGATCTTTAGAGTTAATTCGGGAAACGGTAACTTGTTAAACAACTTTTCCCGTGGTGCCCCAAATTCCTAATGAGTTAATTGTTACATGATTAATTTAATCTAGTAACAATTAAACATAGTAGGTAATTATTCGATAAATAACAGTCTTCAAATTAATGAAAGTCACGTCACGAACCCTTCATGGTGAATTGCTCCAAAGAAACCAATTCTAAAGGACACCAATAAGAAGAAGAGACTTGCTTGGACCAAGAAACACAAGCAATGGACATTAGACCGGTGGAAATCTGTCCTTTGGTCTGATGAGTCCAAATTTGAGATTTTTGGTTCCAACTTCCGTGTCTTTGTGAGACGCAGAGTAGGTGAACGGATGATCTCCGCATGTGTGTTTCCCACCGTGAAGTATGGAGGAGGAGGTGTGATGGTGTGGGGGTGCTTTGCTGGTGACACTGTGTGATTTATTTAGAATTCAAGGCACACTTAACCAGCATGGCTACCATAGCATTCAACCTCCAGGCTGTGTAAGGGCTAATTGACCAAGAAGGAGAGTGATGGAGTGCTGCATCAGATGACCTGGCCTCCACAATCACCCAACCTCAACCCAATTGAGATGGTTTGGGATGAGTTGGACTGCAGAGTGAAGGAAAAGCAGCCAACAAGTGCTCAGCATATGTGGGAACTCCTTCAAGACTGTTGGAAAAGCATTCCTCATGAAGCTGGTTGAGAGAATGCCAAGAGTGTGCAAAGCTGTCATCAAGGCAAAGGGTGGCTACTTTGTAGAATCTAAAATATATTTAGATTTTTTAAAACACTTTTTGGGTTACTACATTATTCCATGTGTTATTTCATAGTTTTGATGTCTTCACTATTATTCTACAATGTAGAAAATAGTAAAAATAAAGAAAAACCCTTGAATGAGTAGGTGTCCAAACTTTTGACTGGTACTGTATAAATATATATTTTTAAATTAACAAATGGTACAGGATACAACACTAACAGATCTAATCATTACTACCGACACTCAAAATATGTTGCACTGTGCCGTCTTGCCATACCGAGTCCGGGATTCAATCCGATCAGCAAAAATCTACATTATAGTGCGCTTGACATTTAAAGGTAATTTCCGATTGAGCCGACATATGCAGCGTTTACCGTGAATGAGTCCTCCGCGAACGCGGGAACATTGCCTTTAAAGGGGGGCTGAACTTCCTGATTTGGCCTCGTTTTTCGGCCTGATAGATAACTTGAAACAGTCTAACCAGGTCTTGTGTCTTGAAGTCGCCTAGTATAGCTAGTGCTATTTCTTTCTTCTTCAATTAGCTTCAGCTGGCTGGTGTGCGACTGTGGCAAAGTTGGTTTGACATTGGATAGCCTATCTCTGGGGCTAATTAGGGACCGTCAATAATATTTTCATGTTGCACATCTTTTAGTTGTCTCAAATGCTTTCAATATATGTATATGCATTTCTACAATTTATAGTTGGTTTGAGGTTTTTAAGTCATTGAAATTTGGAGTTAGTGACATGTAAAATATTGTGTACATAGTGTAATTTACTGATGGTCCCTAGCTAGCCCCATAGGGATATCGAATGTCAAACCAAATTGACCATGGGCATTACCATAGTCCCCTGTAGCTCAGTTGGTAGAGCATGGCGCTTGCAACGCCAGGGTTGTGGGTTCGTTTCCCACGGGGGGCCAGTATGAAAATGTATGCACTCACTAACTGTAAGTCGCTCTGGATAAGAGCGTCTGCTAAATGACTAAAATGTAAATTACGACCAGGTATCGTAGTGCTGCGCTCAGAACTGATGATTACTTTGGTGATGCCATCTCTGGGCATAATTGAAATAAACCCAACCCAAGGACAACTGTTACGGTAACCTTAATTCTGTTGCATAATCTTTCCCCCTATCATCTTGCAAATCTCTGTTTTGGACGAGATTGACTTTGTAGTAAATTTTGACACTAAAATAAATGTTTCTGACTCAAATTGATGCCACATTCTAAACGAGGAGTTGCTTTTAGGGGCAGTCACTCTTTAAAAGGTGCACAGCTAACAAAGCACCAACAGATTAAATCCGGCCCAAGGCAGATTTTTACTATTTTGATCATCACAGAATGTTTTAGGGGCAAAAAAAATATTGGGCAGTACTGACCTCTTCATTGGGAGGGGGGAACTCGATCTTCCTGTCGATGCGGCCGGGTCGGAGCAAGGCAGAGTCTAGGATGTCAATACGGTTGGTGGCCATGATGACCTGAAACAGAACAAACACATTTAACATACAATATTAGTCCTTGGGTCTTATTCAGCTTCTTTATTCACCTTATCACCATTGGCTTCTTTGGTATGCCCTTCTTTTCTAGATTCAGTACATTAGGAAAGTAATCAGACCTCTTGACGTTTTCCACATTTTGTTATGTTACAGCCTTATTCTAAAACTGATTAAATACATAAATGTTAATCAATCTACACACAATACCCTATAATGACAAAGCCAAAACAGGTTTTTAAGAAATACCTTGTTTACTTAAGTATTCAGACCCTTTGCTATAAGACTTGAAATTGAGCTCAGGTGCATCCTGTTTCCACTGATCATCCTTGAGATGTTTCTACAACTTGGAGTCCATCTGTGGTAAATTCAATTAATTGGACATGATTTGGAAAGGCACACACCTGTCTATAACGTCCCACAGTTGACTGTGCATATCAGAGCAAAAACCAAGCCATGAGGTCGAAGGAATTGTCCGTAGAGCTCCGAGACAGGATTGTGTCGATGCACAGATCTGGGGAAGGGTACCAAAATAATGTCTGCAGCATTGAAGGTCCAGGAACACAGTGGCCTCCATCATTCTTAAATGAAAGAAGTTTGGAACTACAAAGACTATTCCTAGAGCTGGTCGCCCGGCCAACCTGAGCAATCGGGGGAGAAGGGCCTTGGTCAGGGAGGTGACCAAGAACCCGAGTTCCTCTGTGGAGATGGGAGATCCTTCCAGAAGGACAACCATCACTACAGCACTCCACCAATCAGGCCTTTATGGTAAAGTGGCCAGACAGAAGCCACTCCTCAGTGAAAAGGCACGACAGCCCGCTTGGAGTTTGCCAAAAGGCACCTAAAGGACTCTCAGATCATGAGAAACAAGATTCTCTGGTCTGATGAAACCAAGATTGAACTATTTCGCCTGAATACCAAGCGTCACGTCTGGAGGAAACCTGGCACCATCCCTACGGTGAAGCATTGTGGTGGCATCATCATGCTGTGGGGATGTTTTTCAGCGGCAGGGACAGGGAGACTAGTCAAGATCAAGATGAACGGAGCAAAGTACAGAGAGATCCTTGATGAAAACCTGCTCCAGAGCGCTCAGTACCTCAGACTGAGGCGAAGGTTCACCTCCCAACAGAACAACAACCCTAAGCACACAGCCAAGACAACGTAGGAGTGGCTTCGGGACAAGTCTCTGAATGTCCTTGAGTGGCCCAGCCAGAGCCCGGACCTGAATCCGATCGAACATCTCTGGAAAATAGCTGTGCAGCGACGCTCCCCATCCAACCTGACAGAGCTTGAGAGGATCTACAGAGAAGAATGGGAGAAACTCCCCAAATACAGGTCTGCCAAGCTTGCAGCGTCATACCCAAGAAGACTCGAGGCTGTAATCGCTGCTAAAGGTGCTTCAACAAAGTACTGAGTAAAGGGTCTGAATACTTACAGTGGGGAAAAAAAGTATTTAGTCAGCCACCAATTGTGCAAGTTCTCCCACTTAAAAAGATGAGAGAGGCCTGTAATTTTCATCATAGGTACACGTCAACTATGATAGACAAAATGAGGGAAAAAATTCCAGAAAATCACATTGTAGGATTTTTTATGAATTTATTTGCAAATTATGGTGGAAAATAAGTATTTGGTCAATAACAAAAGTTTCTCAATACTTTGTTATATACCCTTTGTTGGCAATGACACAGGTCAAATGTTTTCTGTAAGTCTTCACAAGGTTTTCACACACTGTTGCTGGTATTTTGGCCCATTCCTCCATGCAGATCTCCTCTAGAGCAGTGATGTTTTGGGGCTGTCGCTGGGCAACACAGACATTCAACTCCCTCCAAAGATTTTCTATGGGGTTGAGATCTGGAGACTGGCTAGGCCACTCCAGGACCTTGAAATGCTTCTTACGAAGCCACTCCTTCGTTGCCCGGGCGGTGTGTTTGGGATCATTGTCATGCTGAAAGACCCAGCCACGTTTCATCTTCAATGCCCTTGCTGATGGAAGGAGGTTTTCACTCAAAATCTCACGATACATGGCCCCATTCATTCTTTCCTTTACACGGATCAGTCGTCCTGGTCCCTTTGCAGAAAAACAGCCCCAAAGCATGATGTTTCCACCCCCATGCTTCACAGTAGGTATGGTGTTCTTTGGATGCAACTCAGCATTCTTTGTCCTCCGAACACGACGAGTTGAGTTTTTACCAAAAAGTTATATTTTGGTTTCATCTGACCATATGACATTCTCCCAATCCTCTTCTGGATCATCCAAATGCACTCTAGCAAACTTCAGACGGGCCTGGACATGTACTGGCTTAAGCAGGGGGACACGTCTGGCACTGCAGGATTTGAGTCCCTGGCGGCGTAGTGTGTTACTGATGGTAGGCTTTGTTACTTTGGTCCCAGCTCTCTGCAGGTCATTCACTAGGTCCCCCCGTGTGGTTCTGGGATTTTTGCTCACCGTTCTTGTGATCATTTTGACCCCACAGGGTGAGATCTTGCGTGGAGCCCCAGATCAAGGGAGATTATCAGTGGTCTTGTATGTCTTCCATTTCCTAATAATTGCTCCCACAGTTGATTTCTTCAGACCAAGCTGCTTACTTATTGCAGATTCAGTCTTCCCAGCCTGGTGCAGGTCTACAATTTTGTTTCTGGTGTCCTTTGACAGCTCTTTGGTCTTGGCCATAGTGGAGTTTGGAGTGTGACTGTTTGAGGTTGTGGACAGGTGTCTTTTATACTGATAACAAGTTCAAACAGGTGCCATTAATACAGGTAACGAGTGGAGGACAGAGGAGCCTCTTAAAGAAGAAGTTACAGGTCTGTGAGAGCCAGAAATCTTGCTTATTTGTAGGTGACCAAATACTTATTTTCCACCATAATTTGCAAATAAATTCATTAAAAATCCTACAATGTGATTTTCTGGATATATTTTTTCTCAATTTGTCTGTCATAGTTGACGTGTACCTATGATGAAAATTACAGGCCTCTCTCATCTTTTTAAGTGGGAGAACTTGCACAATTGGTGGCTGACTAAATACTTTTTTTCCCCACTGTATGTAAATGTGATATTTCCGGGTTTTTTTAAATAAAATGTGCAAACAATTCTAAAAACCTGTTTTTGCTTTGTCATTAAGGGGTATTATGTGTAGATTGATGAGGGGGAAAAAACTATTTAATGAATAAGGCTGTAACGTAACAAAATGTGGAAAAAGTCAAGGGCTCTGAATACTTTCCGAATGCACTGTATGTTAGCCTGTAAGGCTAACCCTATGTGACTTTCTTTCAATACAAACAAAATACATGTTCAATACATCTGAAATCAAATTGTATTTTCGTCACGTGCTGAATACAACAGGTGTAGACTTTACCGTGAAATGTTTACTACTACACGTAAAGGGGAGATAATACAGTGCCTTCAGTAAGTATTCACACCCCTTAACTTTTTCCACATGTTGTACTACAGCCTGAATTTAAAATGTATTAAATTGATATTTTCACTGTCACTGATCTACACACAATACCCCATAATGTCAAAGTGGAATTTAGTGTGTCAAATTAAAAGCTGAAATGTCTTGAGTCAATAAGTATTCAACCCCTTTGTTATGGCAAGCCTAAAGTTCAGTAGTAAACATGTGCTTAACAAATATCATAATAAGTTGCATGGACTCCGTGTTCAGTAATAATAGTGGTTAACATGATTTTTGAATGACATCTGTGTACCCCACACACACAAATATCTGTAAGGTCAATCAATCGAGTAGTTGAATTTCAAATCACAGATTCAACCACAATGACCAAGGAGGTTTTTCAATACCTCGCAAAGAAGGGCACCGATTGGTAGATGTGTAAAAAATAATAAAAAGCAGACGCTGAATATCCTATGGTGAAGTTATTAATTAGACTTTGGATTGTGTAACAATACAACCAGTCACTACAAAAGATACAGGTGTCATTCCTAACTCAGTTGCCAGAGAGGATCGAAACTGCTCAGGGATTTTACCTTGAGGCCAATGGTGATTTTAAAACAGTTACAGAGTTTAATGGTTGTGATATGAGAAAACAGAATGAATTAACATTGTAGTTACTCCACAATAATAACCTAAATGACAGAATGAAAAGAAAGCCTGTACAGAATACAAATATTCCAAAACATGCATCATGTTTGCAACAAGGCACTTAAGTAATACTGCAAACAAAATTGGCACAGAAATGACCTTTTTGTCCTGAACACAAAGCATCATGTTTGGGGCAAATTCAACACAACACAGTATACCATTCTTCATATTTTCAAGCATGGTGGTGGCTGCATCATGTTATGGGTATGCTTGTCATCGGCAAGGACTAGGGAGGTTTTTTTGGGGGGATAAAAAGAAACGGGATACAGCTATAAGCACAGGCAAAATCCTAGAGGAAAACCTGGTGTTTTTTTTTTTGAGGAATTCACCTTTCAGCAGGACAATAACCTAAAACACAAGACCAAATCTACACTGGAGTTGCTTACCAAGACAACATTGAATGTTCTTGAGTGGCCTAGTTACAGTTTGGACTTAAATCTGCTTGAAAATCTATGGCAAGACATGAAAATGGCTGTCTAGCAACGATCAACTTGATAGAGTTTGAAGAATTTAAAAAATAATAAATGTATGTATATTGTACAATAAATGTATATTGTACAATCCAGGTTTGCAAAGCTCTGAAAGACTTACCCCAAAAGACTCACAGCTGTAATCCCCGCCAAAGGTGCTTCTACAAAGTATTGACTCAGGGGTGTGAATACTTATGTAAATGAGATATTTCTCAAATTTAATTTTCAATAAATTAGCAAACATTTCAAAAAACATGTTTTCACTTTGTCATTATGGGGTATTGTCAGTATATGGGTGAGAACATTTTATTTAATCCATTTTTAATTCAGGCTGTAACAACAAAATACTTTCTGAAGGCACTGTATATTGCAGTGTGGGAAAGTAGGTTGTAGATTGCAAGAACATTAGACAGAAAGGGTTTAGGGAATTAACACGTCTGACCAGAGAAATTATTCCCAGCTACTCCAGTCTCAACATTTGTTCTGTAAATTCAACAGAATTAGAAACAAATATGATAGGAAGTTGGATAATAACTTTAAATACTTTTACAACTGTGCAAGTTTCTGTGCATTTTGTTTAGAGGTTTGCTCTAGAAATTGAATAATTTCAAATCCAGTTACATGTGGGCATCATACAAAGCAGTAGAAGGAGCTATATGAAGTGGTGTGAGTATTGTGTCAGATAGGAGAGTGATACACAAAGTAAAAGGGAAGGATGGAGGGTTGTGTGGGGCTGAACAGTAGCCCATTCCAGGAAAATGTTGACATTTTATCACAACATGGCCCTACACCAAATCCTTGAACCATTTGACCCAAGAGTCAAAATGAGCATTATTAAATGGGCCTGTACATCTACAACAATTAATTTACTCTAGAACTGGCAGCCTTTGGCTCCTGAGTGCTTCAGTGCTTCTTATGACATCCTCATAATTCAAAAATGAATGACTCATTTCTAATTCCAGACTCGCATAGATGCAGTAAAGAGGTCAATGGAACGCAGACCAGTAGCTTGCTAGCTACTTCCAGACACAAATGAGAGAACACCTCACTCTGACCATTTTACTTGCCCTAGCAGAGCTGGTTAGGCTGTTTTCATGTTATCCAGAGCGTTGGTGACTGTAACTGTGCTGCTGGCAACAATGTAACTTTTTGGGAGCCAGGCCCAACCGGACAGCTGATGAAACTGAGGAGTATTTGTCTGTAATGAAGCCCTTTTGTGGGGGGAAACTCTGATTGGCTGGGCCTGGCTCCCCAGTGGGTGGGCCTATGCCCTCCCAGGCCCACCCTGCCCAGTGATGTGAAATCCATAGATCTGGGCCTAATTTATTTATTTCAATTGACTGATTTCCTTATATGAACTCTAACTCAGTAAAATCGTTGTTTTCTTGGTGAGTGCTATTATATGATACAATATCAGTCCTTGTTGCATTTACTACTTGTCCAAGTCCTAGCATCAACTGATTTGAGCCAGTGTAGCTGTGGATTGACTGCATTGTTTGAATGGAATGTTGGCATATTGGCAGTTAATTTGAAAAATTCATGGAATCATTCCTTTAAAACTGTCTAGCTAGCTAGCTAACACACACATACAGTGCTGATACATTCTTCACATTCATATTTTAACACTATCTTATCAAAGCACTGGCAAACCATTGTTAACCAACTACCTGACAAACATGGCTGAGCTTTGGACCATCATAAGCAGGTTCATGTCCATTCTAGTATTGTAATTCCTAATTCTATGGTCCCCAGGCCCAGCTCTGTCATGTTCTTCACCAAACTGGATGACTTTTCTCACATGGCTGAGGCAGAGTCATGTCACTGTATTATACAGAACCAGTCAAAAGTTTGGACACACCTACTCATTCAAGGGTTTTTCTTTATTTTTACTATTTTCTACATTGTAGAATAATAGTGAAGATATCAAAACTATGAAATAACACACATGGAATCATGTAGTAATCAAAAAAGTGTTAAATCAAAATATATTTTAGATTCTTCAAAGTAGCCACCCTTTGCCTTGATGACAGCTTTGCACACTCTTGGCATTCTCTCAACCAGCTTCATGAGGAATGCTTTTCCAACAGTCTTGAAGGAGTTCCCACATATGCTGAGCACTTGTTGACTGCTTTTCCTTCACTCTGCGGTCCCACTCATCCCAAACCATCTCAATTGGGTTGAGGTTGGGTGATTGTGGAGGCCAGGTCATCTGATGCAGCACTCCATCACTCTCCTTCTTGGTCAAACAGTCCTTACACAGCCTGGAGATGTGTTTTGGGTCATTGTCCTGTTGAAAGACAAATGATAGTCCCACTAAGCGCAAACCAAATGGGATGGCGTATCGCTGCAGAATGCTGTGGTAGCCATGCTGGTTAAGTGTGCCTTGAATTCTAAATAAATCACTCAGTGTCATCAGCAAAGCACCCCCACACCATGACACCTCCTCCTCCATGCTTCGCGGTGGGAACCACACATGCGGAGATCATCCGTTCAGCTAATCTGCGTCTCACAAAGACACGGCGGTTGGAAGCAAAAATATCAAATTTGGACTCATCAGACCAAAAGGACAGATTTCCACCAGTCTAATGTCCATTGCTCGTGTTTCTTGGCCCAAGCTGGTCTCTTCTTCTTGTCCTTTAGTACTGGTTTCTTTGCTGCAATTCGACCATGAAGGCCTGATTCACACAGTCCCATCTGAACAGTTGATGTTGAGATGTGTCTGTGACTTGAACTCTGTGAAGCATTTATTTGGGCTTCAATTTCTGAGGCTGGTAACTCTAATGAATGTATCCTCTGCAGCAGAGGGAGCTCTGGGTATTCCTTTCCTATGATGGTCCTCATGAGAGCCAGTTTCATCATAGCGCTTGATGGTTTTTGCGACTGCACTTGAAGAAACTTTCAAAGTTCTTGACATTTTCCGTATTGACTGACCTTCATGTCTTAAAGTAATGATGGACTGTCATTTCTCTTTGCTTATTTGAGCTGTTCTTGCCATAATATGGACTTGGTCTTTTACCAAATAGGGCTATCTTCTGTATACCACCCCTACCTTGTCACAACACAACTGAAGGAGACAGGTCAAATAAAGTTTTTTAAGCCTTGAGACAATTGAGACATGGATTGTGTATGTGTGCCATTCAGAGGGTGAATGGGCAAGTCAAAATATTTAATTTCCTTTAAACGGGGTATGGTAGTAGGTGCCGTGCGCACCGGTTTGAGTGTGTCAAGAACTGCAACTCTGCTGGATTTTTCACATTTAACAGTTTCCCGTTTGTATCAAGAATGGTCCACCACCCAAAATACATCCAGCCAACTTGACACAACTGTGGGAAGCATTGGAGTCAACATGGGCCAGCATCACTGTGGAATGCTTTCGACACCTTGTAGAGTCTATGCCCTGACGAATTGAGTCTATGCCCAGACGAATTGAGTCTATGCCCAGACGAATTGAGGCTGTTCTGAATGTTTTCTACACTCGGTACTGTACTGTTACAGAGCCACTCAAACTATTTTCCCTTTGATAGAGTTAAGGGTGTGATTGTCATACCATGTGGTGTTGACCTACTCTTTCTTTCTCTGTCCATTCATCCCCCCTTCCCTCTAGCATCAGGAGAGGAGGAAGAGGGAGGTGGAGCAGGAGGAGAGCCTGCGGGAGCTCGCGGAGCCCCTGGAGGTCAGATTTGTCAAAAACGCTGCCTTTCTCCCAGACTTTCGGTCCACCCCCACCATCCAGCACCCCCAGAGAGGAGTCCCGCTGGCAGGTCCAAGGACCTGAGGATCAAAGGTCACAGCGTCCCAGAAGATCACCACTCGATGGTGGACTCCATGCTGGCCAATGCCTCTGGCCAGCCCCGCCGCTACAGCCTGGACCTGAGCCGCAGGATCAAGCAGCCCCAGATAGACGTGGACATCAGCTTGGTGTCTCTGAGGCTGCTGACACTCTGTCAGCAGCCTCAAAGAAGGAGGGCCAAGCACTGAACTGAACTGCTCAACATGGACATAGCTGCTTTTAGTCTTCAAACATCAAATTTAAATATTTTAAACACATAGGTATTTTCTAAATATTTTTTAACTATACTACTCTTTTTCAATGGTTTTTCTTATTATAACATTTAGACATAATGAAATATTTGTAATCTGCATTTATTGCTAATTTCTATATAATTGTCTTTCAAAAATACTGTTTGTTCTGTCTATTTGTACCATCACAGAGAACATGCAAATACAGATTGAGAGGTTGTAGAGTGTTAGAGTGAGTGGGAGGACAGTGAATCGAGAATAGAATATCTAGCGTGTGATTGATTGGTGAGCAGTGGAAAGAAAGTGTTGTCAGTCAGTACTGACAGGAGAGTGACAGATTGAAATCAGTGAGAGAAGCCGCAGATAAAGTGGTGTCAAGAGAGTTATAGCAGAGGAATAGCATACACATTAAGTAAGGGTGTAGAGTGTGGGTGTTATATAAGCGCAAGTTTTATTGTAGAGTAGAATTTATAAGGCATTATAAAGACGACAGTGGTGTATCTCTGTATGCGTCACCCACCTTGATGTTTTTGGTGGCCTCGAAGCCATCCAGCTGGTTCAGCAGCTCCAGCATGGTCCTCTGCACCTCGCTGTCGCCCCCACTGCCCCCCTCCAGACGTGACGAACCGATGGAGTCGATCTCGTCCATGAAGATGATGGAGGGTGCGTGCTCGCGGGCCATGACGAACAGCTCGCGCACCATGCGGGCACCTGGGATGGGGAAGAGAGCAAGGTTACAGCCAGCAGTGTGATGAGTGAAATACTAATAATAACAGCTTCTGTTTTACCACTTACACGGTGAGAGACATTTAGCCTACTACTTTCACTCATTGCAGTGCTCCATGAAAATGGACTGAAATGCACTTCAATATGCTTGAGCTAGCTAAACAGCAGCTATTTGGCGAATGGAAGCAGCAAAACATATCTCCCTGATTCTGGAATTCCCTAACTTTAATTCCTTGACATTACGGGAATTACTTCACGGTTGGGAACCCTGTCGAATGGTAACCGAAATGGCTGACTGAATGACCGTTGATGACTCACCCTCTCCAATGAACTTCTGCACCAGCTCCGAGCCGGACACCCTGATAAAGGTGCAGTCGGTGTGGTGGGCCACAGCTCTGGCCAGCAGGGTCTTCCCTGTGCCTGGGGGGCCGTACAGCAGCACGCCCTGGTGGAGAGGCACACAACAAGGGGGGTTAGACAACCTAAGAGACATGACACATAGTGCATCTCAAATGTCATGATGTATTTTAGGGTGATTATGCTGGAATTAGCTGGTGCCACTTTCTGTTCCTTCTGGGAATCAAGACTGTTGAGGTTTATATGTGATAAATGCTGTGAGACCTGGACAGAATAAGACCTTAGGACACTGCCAACAAGGTATGAAAAGGTCTGACAAAAGTTAGATTTTGGAGTGTTGCATCCCTTTCAGACACTCTTTATGCTTATAAGGTAAACTCAAATGCAAATGGTAATTGTTTGAGTTTACCTTGTAAGAGTGGGTAACATATACAGATGACACAACATGTGAATTAAGCAAGAACCCAATAAGGGACTTATTCCTTTTGGGCCACCCACCTTGGGCTGTGCAATGCCAAGAGCCTCGAAGAGCTCTGGGTGCTTGACTGGCAGCTCGATCACTTCCTTGATCTCCTTGATCTGCTTGTCCAGACCGCCAATCATCTCGTAGGTGGAGTCGGGAACTTTCTCCACCATCATGAGGGAGACCAGCGGGTCCACCTTGTTGGGCAGGATCTTGTGAAGGGTGTAGCTGTCGTTGCGCAGTGCCACGCGGCAATTTGGAGTCACCTGTTGGGAATGGGCAACAAGGTTAATCAGTCTGATACACTCATAAATAATAAGGAACTTTGTTCCATTTATTCTTAATTTCCGTTTTTTTTCTTCTTCTGTCCAGCCACCTGAATAGGATGTGGATATTTTTACTTTTCAACTGAATTTTGTTTCCTTAACACTTACTCCAATTAGACAAAAATAAAGAAATATCGTTCAAATATGGTTCTTGTGTGTTTATCATCTGTATTGTACACAGATACATGTACCTTTGTACACAGAAACATATTTAGTTCTCTCCACAATGTGGTAAATTATCAACAACGTTTCCATACTTACATCATTGATGTCAATATTCTTATCCACATCCACCACAAATTTTCCCTCTGGATGGACCTGGAGACAAGTAGTTACAGTAGACTGTCAGTGTCATCTGGGAGCAACTACAGTGTACCACCGTAAAAGTTTGTGTTTGGGTTATATTTCAGCATAAAAAAGCTATTATACACACCTTGACCAGCACTTTCTTTTTGTCCATGGCCCTCACCACCTCGCCAACATAGGAACCCTGCTCCTGTAGCAACTGCAGCTCCTCACGAAGGAGACGCACTGGCGACAAAGCAAATAGATTTGAACAATGACTGTCAATTCATGATATGCATGTTTCTAAGTGACATTTTGTTTCTGAGTGCAATCAAATTACAGTAGTCAGACACAGCATTTACAATTTATAATCTACACAATTATTGCTTCAATTAGACTATGTCACAATTAATTACCTACTAGCTAGTTAGCTACATTGCTGTTTAGAAGATAAGTTCAGCTGTTGTTGTTCTGGATAGATAACCATCATTCCTACCTTTTGCATTGAGTTCATTCCTCTGAGCCTGTAGACGTCTGAGATTCTGACTCTTGTCATTCACTGTCAACTGGAGGCAGAGACCAGTTATTTCTTAGCTTGACAAATTATATTAGCAGTGTCACTACGGTGTCAACTGACAACATGTAACGTTTTTATGAAAACCTGTGTTTGCTTACCTGTAACTCTTCTATTTTGGACAAGTAGTATTGCCGGAGACCAGAACCACCTTTACTGTCCTCCATCTCCATCTGCAAATACACCGAAAGATATTAAATAACTGAGATCGTTGTTATAAAGTTGTCAAGTAAACAACGTATATAACGTTAGCTGGCTAATTAACATCAAGGTGACTAACGTTGTAGCTATAGGCCTAATTAGCCATCTAGCAAGACGACTAGCTATAAAATAAGATTTCTACCAGTTTACTGACAAATATATGTCATACTAGCGGCTAGCTAGCTAACGTTACTTAATAACTAACTATAGTTTTGTCCATTATACTTAACTTATGCCGAGTTATTTATAGTCACAAATATAAAGAGTGTCACCTGAAACAAACATAATAATCAATGACTTAGATTAGCTAGCTAGAAAGCTAACAGCTAGCTAGCTAGCTTGCTAAAAGTAGCTTACAATGAGACAGCAAACTGGCAGGATTCTCTATTTTGACAGATCGTTTTTGTCGATTCAAAACGGTTCTATCAACTTCTGATAAGAACCAACTTTACAGAACACACCGTTAAGTGTCTAATCAATGCCTTATCTACAATATTTTCTCAAAATGGTGATAGTCATAATAAAGACAACAAAATCGCTTACATTATGGTCCATTCCGTCCAGCGCCATCTTGAAATTCTAAACTTCCGTTGGATGAAAGCGTACTTCCGAAATACGAACCTCTTCTTCAGTAAATGTTCTACAATTAAAATTGGAGTACTACTGCAACATGCTGTACTGGAGGTGTAGTACAGTAAAACGCAACTGAAATGTAGCTAATGATGCTAAAAGCAAGTTCATGCTCTATTTCTGTCCTTGTTGCAAATACCTTATCTATTTGGGGAAGCTGTGCCAGACACAAATTTGTTGAATATTGTAAAACCCATTTGCATGGTCCTTTGAGTGGGCCTGATGTACCGGGTTTGGCCGGTGTAGGCCATCATTGTAAATAAAGGTCAAATCAAATAAAAATAAATATTAGCTATATCAATACTGTGCAATAAGTGTGCAATATATAATATAGATGAAACATTATTTAAACATTAAGAGGCTGGCATTGAGTATGTGGTTTTCAACTGTTATCAGTTAAACAGACTGGCTTGTCTATTCCAATTATGTATTATTGTCTATCTCCTACCACGCTGCAGGCTGAGAAACACAAGTTTGTTCAAGCCAACTCCCAGCGGCGCACAAGGACATACGTGTACTTAGTTTGGCAAGGAGAGTGGTAAACAGAGGCCTGAGACAGGTAAGACCAGCCATACCTGTTTAATATGGCGAGTTTCTTCAAGATTTAGTTAAGCTCTCGCTGCTGTCAGCTGCCTCCAATTCTCCTCAGTAGAAAACATTTTATGCCAATTTTCACATAATTTGACCTCTTTCTCAATAGCTAGGTTTCCATCCTATTGGCGACAGATTTTCATGGGAATATTTTAAAAACCGCATAAAAACAATCAGGGGCGTTTCTAGGATTTGAAGACATTGTGGGCTTAGCCCAAAGCCAGTAGGGGGTACATTCTTAGGTACATTCTCCCACGGCAAAAAAATAAAGAAAATAATTTCAACAGCTAAATACATGAATTTGGTGCACTTTGAGATTAACATTGAGCGATTCAAACATTGAGAGATTAGATCTTTTTCAGGTAACTTGCACCTTCCCACATGCCACAGCAGACACTGCCAGTACTCAATTACAGTTGCTACTGTGGGTCTCTCTACTCTGGAACTCTCTCTACTCCACAGGAGGCTGCTGAGGGGAGGACGGCACATAATAATGTCTGGAATGGAGTGAATGGAATGGTATCAAACACATGGGTTTGATGAGTTCGATATCATTCCATTTATTCTTCAAATAGCCACGCTTTGCCTTGATGACAGCTTTGCACACTCTTGGCATTCTCTCAACCAGCTTCATGAGGTAGTCACCTGGCATTACAATTAACAGGTGTGCCTTCTTAAAAGTTCATTAGTGGAATTTGTTTCCTTCTTAATGCGTTTGAGCAAATCAGTTGTGTTGTGGCAAGGTAGGGGTGGTATACAGAAGATAGCCCTATTTGGTAAAAGACCAAGTCCAGATTATAGCAAGAACAGCTCAAGTAAGCAAAGAGAAACGGCAGTCCATCATTACTTTAAGACATGAAGGTCAGTCAATACGGAACATTTCGAGAACTTTGAAAGTTTCTTCAAGTGCAGTCGCAAAAACCATCAAGTGCTATGATGAAACTGGCTCTCATGAGGACTGCCACAGGAATGGAAGACCCAGAGTTACCTCTGCTGCAGAGGATACGTTCATTAGAGTTACCAGCCTCAGAAATTGCAGCCCAAATAAATGCTTCACGGAGTTCAAGTAACAGACACATGTCAACATCAACTGTTTAGAGGGGACTGTGTGAATCAGGCCTTCATGGTTGAATTGCTGCAAAGAAACCACTACTAAAGGACACCAATAAGAAGAAGAGGCTTCAAGGCACACTTAACCAGCATGGCTACCACAGCATTCTGCAGCGATACGCCATCCCTTCTGGTTTGTGCTTAGTGGGACTAGCATTTGTCTTTCAAGAGGACAATGACCCAACACACCTCCAGGCTGTGTAAGGGCTATTTGACCAAGAAGGAAAGTGATGGAGTGCTACATCAGATGACCTGGCCTTCACAATCCCCCGACCTCAACCCAATTGAGATGGTTTGGAATGAGTCGGACCGCAGAGTGAAGGAAAAGCAGCCAACAAGTGCTCAGCATATGTGGGAACTCCTTCAAGACTGTTGGAAAAGCATTCCAGGTGAAGCTGGTTGAGAGAATGCCAAGAGTGTGCAAAGCTGTCATCAAGGCAAAGGGTGGCTATTTGAAGAATCTCAAATATAAAATATATTTTGATTTGTTTAACACTTTTTTGGTTACTACATGATTCCATATGTGTTATTTCATAGTTTTGATATCTTCACTATTATTCTACAATGTAGAAAATAGTACAAATAAAGAAAAACCCTTGAATGAGTAGGTGTTCTAAAACGTTTGATCGGTAGTATACTAGGCGGAGTCAACTCCTTGCACATCTAGACAGCCAATACATCTCTGTTGTATTGGCAGGAACTTCATTGGTTTCTGTCACTGGTGTAGTCATTTCCCTGCCTGATGCTAGAACCTTCGTGGGCGTGGAAGTATGTGTGTGGGATAGGACTGTTCCTTTTCACTTTATTTGACCTGACCTCGGGCCGAATTCCTCGCTCCTCCCTGATCCATGCCTGTCCTACCTTATCAGTGACTGAAACCAGACTGTTGCCCTTTGCCTCCCTCAATAGGGGCCATGAGATTTAACAATACCATGTGTTGACAGAATGTAAACTTTCTGCACTCCCCCTTCCTCACTCAGTAACATTCCATACACCTACTTCTTATCCACCCTCCATTGACCCCAACATATACATTCCTTATACATGTAAAGTAATCAGTAAGTGCTTCTACATCTGCATTGCTTGCTGTTTGGGGTTTTAGGCTGGGTTTCTGTATAGCACTTTGTGACATCTGCTGATGTAAAAAGGGCTTTATAAATAAAATTTGATTGATTGAATTTGAGAGTATGTTAACATGAATAAGTATATTTCAAGCTAGAATCCAACAGTCCCCCCTTTTTGAATAGTAACTCCGTAATGTTCAACATATAAACTTTGAAATTACTTATAAATTAACAGAAAAGAAAACATGATTAAAATTCTCAGTTGGCTTTAAAAAAAAACTTGAAAAGAAAAGAAGACACAAAATATGACAAGTATTGTCACGTCTCGTCCCGCTTCTCCCCTCCGGCGCTCTGATTCGCCGGTCTACTGAGCCACTGGTCTGAGCGCACCACCTCAGCAACACCGGAATGGAAATCCAACGCACCCTAATCACCTCCAGCGCACCTGCACCTCATCATCTCACCACCCCTATTTAGCCCTGGACTGTTCTGTATTGTGTTGTGTGTGTGATTGTTAAGCGTCGTGACGTTTACGCTTGCTTTGTTATTCTCTTTCTCGTTATTCAGTAAACCTTGACCTTGTTAATTCCTGTGTCTGTGTCCTGCCTCTTCGTATCCTCAGTACTCGTCACAAGTATTGGTAATGCGTTAAGCTATGCATAATCATATACAGTACCTGTCAAAAGTTTGGACACACCTACTCATTCAAGGGTTTTTCTTTATTTTTACTATTTTCTATATTGTAGAATAATGGTGAAGACATCAAAACTATGAAATAACACATATGGAATCATGTAGTAACCCAAAAAGTGTTAAACAAATACAAATATATTTTATATTTGAGATTCTTCAAAGTAGCCAACCTTTGCCTTGATGACAGCTTTGCACACTCTTTGCATTCTCTCAACCAGCTTCATGAGGATTTTTTTTATTTGTGATTTATGGTGAGTATTTGGAAATATCTTTACATATTCACGGATTATGGTTACATTTGTGAAATATTTGTACATATTTATGGATTTTTGGTTTTATTTACAAAATATTGTAATATATTCACAGATCATTGTTTTATTTGTGAGTTATGTTGAATACACGCACGGATTGTGGTAGACACACTTACAAAATAAACAAATCTCACTCCATAAATAGGAACTGAATGGTGAATGTCAGTGTGTTTTGACCAGTGCTTTATGTTGCTGCTTGCTGGATGTTCTTCAAAAGTGCTTTCCTCTCCATCTTAAATAAACATGCCCCATTCAAAAAATTCAGAACTAAGAACAGATATAGCCCCTGGTTCACCCCAGACTTGACTGCCCTTGACCAGCACAAAAACATCCTGTGGCGTACTGCATTAGCATAGAACAGCCCCCGCGATATGCAACTTTTCAGGGAAGTAAGGAACGAATATACACAATCAGTTAGGAAAGCAAAGGCTAGCTTTTTCAAACAGAAATTTGCATCCTGTAGCACTAACTCCAAAAAGTTTTGGGACACTGTAAAGTCCATGGAGAATAAGAGCACCTCCTACCAGCTACCCACTGCACTGAGGCTAGGAAACACTGTCACCACCGATAAATCTACGATAATCGAGAATTTCAATAAGCATTTTGCTACGGCTGGCCATGTTTTACACATGGACCCTTTCTTTCTAAAAAATTAGCCACCGAAATTGTCGCAACCCTAACTACTAGCCTGTTCAACCTCTCTTTCGTATCGTCTGAGATCCCCAGAGATTGGAAAGCTGCCGCGGTCATCCCCCCTTCAAAGGGGGTGACACTCTAGATCCAAACTGTTCCAGATCTACAGTATCTCACAAAAGTGAGTACACCCCTCACATATTTGTAAATATTTGAGTATATCTTTTCATGTGACAACACTGAAGAAATGACACTTTGCTACAATGTAAAGTAGTGAGTGTACAGCTTGTATAACAGTGTAAATTTGCTGTCCCCTCAAAATAACACAACACACAGCCATTAATGTCTAAACTGCTGGCAACAAAAGTGAGTACACACCTAAGTGAAAATGTCAGAATTGGGCCCAAAGTGTCAATATTTTGTATGGCCACCATCATTTTCCAGCACTGCCTTAACCCATGGAGTTCACCAGAGCTTCACAGGTTGCCACTGGAGACATGACAACATCACGGAGCTGGTGGATGTTAGAGACCTTTCACTCCTCCACCTTCCATTTGAGGATGCCCCACAG